GCTTAATTGGACACGTAAATTAGATCTTGCGCAACAGCTTGCAGATGCAATTAAGTTTATGCATGAAAATGAAATTATACATGGGGATCTTGTAATTGATACTAATTTATTGATTATTTCGTTATTTTTTTTTCTTCTTTCTTTTTTGTTTTGCAATAATAACTAATTATTTTTTTATTAATATTCACAGCATTCTAATAATATTTTCGTTTACGGGAATAATATAAAACTTTTAGACTTTGGACAAAATATGCCCTGCTTTCAAACTGAAGAATCGTATAGAGTAACAAAAAAGTCTGATGTTTATAGTTTAGGCGTACTTATGTGGGAAATATCTAAAAGTCGTCCTCCATTTAAGCCTACAAATGAAATATGCCAACTTTCGGAATTAACTATAGATATGTTAAATGATGCCAGCGTAGACTTTATAGAAAAAGCTCAAACAGCTTATATTGCTTTATATGCTGGTATGTACGGATACTATACGATATAAAGCACAGTACAGTTCCCCATCGTTGTAACGGATCCCCTGTCATGGCGGGTGATTCTCTACAACAATTTAAAATTTTCATTATAGTGATATAACTGGTATTTATTATAATGATTATAATGGACGAAATATCCCAGCACAATCAATTCACTATAGCAAATGTGAACTGTATATGGTCATCTGCCAGAAAAATCGCTATTTGAAGGCAAGTGCTAAACAGTGATTTTCCCAACAGATGACCAATATGATTATGCGAATATTATCTGTAACGGATGATGATTGAGATTCAAATGACGGTGAGATTTTAATAATCAGATTGTTTAAAATGATTTAGCTAATAGGATTTTTTAATCTCACAATCATCCGAATTTCATCATCATCCGAAACCTTATTTTTGATATGCCTAACTTAATATATTATTAGATTGTTGGCAAGATGACCCAATAAAGCGTCCCAATATACAAGAATTAGTGAAAAGGCTCGAAAAGTTGAAAATTCCTGAAACGAATAATGGTTCTCTAAATTTTTATGAAACTACTAAAGAATTATGTAATTTATACATAAAAGAAAAAAAGAAGGGAAAGAATATCACCATGATTTTTGATTCAATGGAACTTTTTTTTGTAGAAAAACAACAAAAACCGAATGATGTCATTAATTGGTGCTTGAACAATCAAATAAGTTCTATAGTTCAACATATACTTGCTTTATGTTATTATAGTGGAAAATGGATCTCAAAAGATGAAAAAAAAGCTTTTGAACTTGGTCAAAAATCTGCTAAAGGTGGTTATATCGAGGCCTATAATATTCTTGGTGTTTGTTATTCTGAAGGCAAAGGAACTCAAATTGATGAAAGAAAGTCTTTCGAATGTTTTCAAAAAGTTGCTAAAGGTGGTTTTGCCGTTGGTCAGTATAATCTGGCTTTTAATTATCGTTACGGAAAAGGAACTGAGATGAATAGAACAAAAGCTTTCGAATCTTATCAGAAATCTGCCGAAGGTGGTTATATAGATGCATTTAATAACCTTGGTTATTGTTATACTAATGGTATAGGAACTGAAGTTAATTTTGAGAAAGCATTTGAGTGTTATCAAAAAGCTGCTGAAAAAGGTTTAGCTATAGGAAAATATAACCTTGCAACAAATTATCAATATGGTGAAGGAACTGCTATAAATGAAAAAAAGGCTTTGGATTTATATCAAGAATCGATTAAAGGTGGTTATCTAAAAGCATTTGGACAACTTGGTGAATGTTATAATACAGGAATAGGAACTAAAATTGATGAAGAAAAGGCATTTGAATGTTATATGAAGGCTGCTGAAGAAGAAATTATTAATCCTGATATTTATTCATAAATCTACTTATTTGTATGTAAAACAACTTGTTTAATAACTTGTATTTAAGAAAATAAATAAATTTATTTTTATCAAATTGCCATATCGCACTGATAAAAACTTTTAAATGCATAGATGTTATACGTCGATTCATGACTTAAATTAACTTAAATTTTATACCAAATCAAACTACATACCGATACTTACGTTCATGATACTGTATAACGAATTATTTAATTTGTCCCAACTCCTATTGGGTGAAATATCATAGCGGGCTTTCATTGTGATTGGCCAATTTTGTAGATCATCCCGTGATGTAGTAAAAGTTTTATTGGTTAATCGAAAATAATCGAAGTTCAAAACTTTAAATAATAACGAATAAAAATTGATATTTATAAAAATAAATATATCTATAGCGAAATTAATACCAGAAAAAGTCTTTATCATGAAATCGATAACTTTAAATCTAAACCATAATCTTGTTGCAGACAAACCAAAATTTTATTGAATAAATAATCCTACAAATCAAAAGAAAGAAAAAAAGAGCCCAAAACAAACTAAAAACAGAAACACAAAAAATAAATTTTGAACCTATTCTAGAACACTAATGGCTAATAAAAAAATATTCAAAACAACATTTTTGTTCAAACTGATCTTTAATTTTATTATAATTGGTATAACAGTTACAATACCACTATTTCGCTTTATCTCTTCTCACGAAATCTAAAACCCTTATTACTCTCAACTTCATATTCTTAACCTATATTATAGTCAAGATTCTATATTAGTTGGGATTACTAAGAATAAGTTTTCATAAAATACGTAAAAGACAGCTTAAATTGCCATGATTAATTGATTTATTGAACCCATAAGTTAAACATTAATGTTCAAACATACCTCTCATCTAACTTCTGAATTACTTCGCGGAATAACGAATTACTTTGACAATTTATGAAATAAGACGTGAACATTCTAATTTTTTTGTCTTACCCCACGGAATTCATATTCGTGGCTCGGAATTCAATCTTGTGACAGGAAATCATTGCTTAATAAGAATTCATTATGATAAGATAATTTTCAAAAATTAGCCAATTATAATAAAGTCCACTATGCTGGGTGAAATAAGATTTGCAGTAAAAAAACTAAGACGATAATGTAATAAACTTTTTAATTGCATATACTACAAGTCTAAAAAAAATATATAAAAATACTTTTAATGATGTTTTTTTTTTATTTCAACAACTTTATCTCAACATGAAAAATAGTAATGACTATATAAGTAATCAAAAAAAATGAACGACATATAATGAATCGCTCAAATATAGGCTGATTTAGTAGAAATTAGCAAATTTTTTCTAAGTAAGTTTTTTTTAAACTTTAAACAACAATAACTTAACAAAAACTTAATCAAATTTAATAATATTTTTAAAATAAAGTCTACAATCTTATAGAATTTGTTTAAAAAAAAATTATTAAATTTGATCAAGTTTTAGTTAAGTTATTAGTATGTAAAGTAGTTTTAAAAAATTCAATAAAAATAATTTGCTTGATTTTTATTGACACTCTCTCATATAATTATTGTTTGATATTTTTATAAAATCTTTCAAATACAAATAATAATCTAAAATACTAGAAACAGAGTACAATGAATATATAGTTTTATAGCATATTTAAATGAATTCATATCCTGGTTTATAGTTAAAAAAAATCTAAAGGTTTTGCAATAGTGAAAAATAAAACTTTAGTTTTTAATTTTTGTTAAAAGGGTGTGACAACTTAGTGAAGTTGGCAAGTTGTTGCACCCCCAAGTGGCAGGACTAGAGTTCGAATCTCACTGGCGGCGAAAATTTGAATTATAGAAAATGCATTTGGAAGACTGTATCTTATTGGGTTGTAGAACTTGTAATGGTGGTTGTACCAGCTTGTACTGGGAGGTAGTAGAACATGTAGTGTGATGTATGAGTTACATGAAACTCAAGTGAAGCTACCAGATAAATCTAGCAAATTTATAGGGTACGGAAGCCTGCTTGGCAAGACCTGAGTGGAGAGGTAGCACAGATCTTCGATGGTTACTATATAAAGGATGATCAACCAGATATTGGAAAACCAGACAGGACTGAGGTGTTTGGCAAGACACTATACTAACCAGGTCATCAGATAATCAGAAGAAGAGTTCTGCCCTTCCAGGTCATCAGATTTGGAGTTTGGGTTTCCGGTGGTATGGGAGGGAGTCTGTAAAGTATGTAATGGGATTTGGATGAACTTTACAAGGGCAGTAGTAGGTAACTGTAGCAGCCTCAGCTCGCAAGTACTTGTTTTCGAACTCGGTGTAAGTTACCGAAAAAGCCTAGTTTAGAAATGTGTGAAATATAGAAAGATTAGGGGGGTATATACTACACCCTCTCTAGAGAAGCCTGGTAAGTATGAGAATCCTACTGGATTATCTATAAAATTAGGGTGCAAGTAGTATAGCACAGTTCAATCTGGGTGGTCTTCAATAAAGCAGCATGAAGTTATGAGTTGGCATAATTAAGGTGGTGATGCAGGATGAGAACATTAGAGAGTTTAATTGGATAGCTCAAGTAATAGTGGATTATAGGTACAGCATTTAGTATAGACTCTAGTAATAGGTAGCTACTTAATTAGGTGCTCAAAAGATGCAGATATGGCTAAAATATACTCTTGTTAATCGAGAATATACTACTAATATATCTAATAAAAATTTGCCTTTCTGCGACATTGCGAAGGTAAAAAAAAAAAAAATTTTTGTTAAAAAATAATAAAAAACAAAATAGTAAAACTGGCAAAACCTGATAAAATTGAAAAAACTAATTAAATTAATAAAGATAATGAAACTAATAAAAATAATAAGATTAAAAGTTAATTAAAGACAATCAATATATATTAACTCTTCCTAATAAATACTTAAATCAACTGTTATTAAAAGCAAGTTGAAGACTTAAGGACAGAACTTGAAGTTTTCTTGATATGAACTGTTGTTGATAAAGTTTTAAATATAATATACTGAGGAGTAGACATTTTAGACAGTTTGTAAAGGAGTCAAGCCTTGTCTTTTATCTTCTTTTAGGTGGATTTTCATTTGTATTTAGAATCAAAACTAAGTCTCTGGAAACAGCAAGTATAAAAGAAGGTTTAAAAAGGTTGAAGATAAAAGAACATGATGAATTTTTAAAAAAACTTTCATTCATTAAAACTCATATGATCATAACTTTCTTCTATCACTTTGATACTTCTAAAACTAATTTTTAACAAAAAGTAAAGAATTTGGATACCCACTATTAAAAGATTAGTATTGTTTACCACTTTTATATTCAGTGACTCTGTGATATAAACACAACAGATATATGTTAACATAGGAGTTGATCTTTATTTAAGAACATTATTTTATACAATTTAGGATTCAAACAATAGTTCTTACATATCAAATAGATGAATAAAACAGCAAAAACATATAGAGTTTATAATTTGTTATACTTTAAAATGAAATATAGATTTAAAGTTAAAATAATAAAAAGATTTTAAGATATACAGTCTAAATAACAAAGTCATATACATATAATTTTTATACCTCTGCACAGACCAAAGTATAATTAGTTTAGTTTTTTTATATTAGTTGAATTTTATATAAATACTATGATCATATAAACAAATATTCTAATTAGTAAATATAAATTTGTTAAATAGGTTCTTTAGTTTTATATTAATACTTTAGATTTCTTTTATTAATTTATTTATTTTTGTTTGTTTTGTTTTGTTTTTACTTTATTTTGTTCATCAAAATTTTGCTAAGAAATGTCTTATCAAATAAGTAATATTTTATATAAGGCAGTGATTCTAACAGAGCTGATAATACTTTTTATAAACTTCTGAAGTTTAAATTTTTTGTAAGTTAAAGATTTCAAATGAAGAAATATAAGCTACTTAAATGGGTTGTATATTGATCTTCCTTAACAAAATCTAGTAATAAGTACTGTTTTTACAGATTGAGTAATTCTTTATTAGTAAAGTAAAAGTAAGTTTATAATATAATTAGTTTCTAGTATACAATTGTATATATATTATATCTTATACTAATTAAAATAATAAAAAAGGATTACTAAGCATAAAAGCAAAAATTAATTAAGGAAATTACCTTTTTTATATAATA